CTAGCAAGGAGATCGGGCTGAAACTATAGCTACAAGCTATCCAAGGATGGTACTATAGAATGTCACCTCAAGGTAGGCCTAGTGGCGTCATCTCTTGGTTAGGCCGGAAACTTATCAATCCACCCTCGTATCTCCAACTTCTTGAAACGAACAGTAATAGATAATGTTCGTCCATTAACGAACACATAGAAAAACAGGCGCGAATATTACAAATGATTCAAATTGTACTTACCTACAACGCTAAATGATAATTAGAAAGAGGACTGGATAGAAACATTAATCTGAAACAATAAAAAATAAATTAGAAATTGTTGTCCATTACAATTATATATAGATACATGTTTAACTAATCCTTCCAAATATTTCGATGCGGTTTTAGAAATAAAAATAACTCTCAACGTCATTTGAAAAGAAGAAGATACTATCGCGTGTGGAGAACGTTGAACAAAAAAGACATTATTACCTTGTTCGAAATAATAAAACAAGGGAGGAAATAAGACCCTAAGTGATTGTAGTAGGTCATCGGAATGCATATGATGGCCGGGTCGTTGATATCCCAGTAGAAAAAAATCATCATGCTTCCGACAAAACTGAATACGAATGGCGAAAGGTCGGAATAATTTATAGAAGGACAGACACATGGTGCATATATCTTAAGGAATCTTTTTTACCATCAAGTCGTTTGTCTACATCATGTTACGCGATATATATTCATATTCTTCTTTTGCCATTTCGTATTCTTATTATGCGGGAGTAGATGGTGCCTTATCACACATATTTCATTCGATGTCAAAACGTTTTCCATTGGATTCTTTTCCGTTCCAAAACCAGAACGCACATACTACTACTACAACATTAATTTGCATTTCTCCCTATACCACTAAACACAACAACACATACATACTAATGCCTACCAATACTACAGAGAGTCAAAGAGTTTTTCATGCAAATTTCAAGCTGATTGTATTTCTATTAATTGCTATTTCTCATCATTATCATCGTAAGGTCCTCAGTCTTAAGACTGGTTGGACACGCACCTTCACTCCTTCCTATTCTGAGCTAATCTTCGTATTTCCCTAAAACTAGAACAACCCACATCCTTAACTATTTGTAAACAATTAATGTAGGTCTATCTCTACTCCTCTTAACTCCTATTTCTGCCTCTAATATGTCTCTGACTAGACCTTCATGCCTGAGAAGGTGTCCTACTAATCTATTTCCATAGAGTCCTCTGTTTTCCTATTCTTTCTAATACATCTTCATTTCTAGCCTTCTCTATCCACGGTTTCCTCATCATTCACCTGTTCGAACGTCTTTAACCTTTTCTTTTCCGTTGCGTTCACCCGTACAGAGTCGCGTTCCAAACATACACCTTTAACAATCGTTCTAAATTAAACGTTCGTGAGCATAGAAGTGACTCCTTTTTATTGAAGGCGACTGGACCCTGCGTTATCCTCTACTTTATATTTCTACTACTCCTTCCGTCCTGATTTATCTGACTTCCTAAATACTAAAAATCAGCCACTTCTTCTAATTTTCGTCTATTATCTTTATATTCGCTCTTTCCCCACTTATTCTTCCTTTTCATACCAATATTTTTGTTTTACTTTACAAATAACCATTGTCAGATTTACTTAGAAAAAAGTTTCAGATAAGTTATTTTTCGGAAACTTCATATTAAATCAGTATTAGAAAATATACGAGGGTGGATTGATAAGTTTCCGGCCTGACCAAGAAAAACAAGGTTTTTAAAAATTTTTTTTTTTATTTCTCAACATAATCTCCTCCAAGGCTGATACATTTCTCATAGCGGTGTTCCAGTCTATTAATGCCATCTCTATAGACTGATTCGTCAAGCTCCTCAAAATAACCATTTACAGCTTCGATTACTTCTTCATTGTCCGCAAATCTCTTACCGCCAAGCCATTTTTTGAGATTAGGGAACAGAAAATAGTCACTCGGGGCTAGGTCTGGAGAGTAAGGAGGGTGCGGCATCAATTCAAACTTTAGATCGTTGATTTTAGCCGTCGCAACGATTGACGTGTGCGCTGGTGCGTTATCGTGATGAAACAAGATTTTTTTCTTCGCCAGATGAGGTCGTTTAATTTTCACCTCGTGGCTCAAACGTTGCAATAAGTCTGCGTAGTATTGACCAGTGATAGTATTACCCTTTGCAAGGTAATCAATGTATATAATACCTCTTGCATCCCAAAAAACAGTAGCCATAACCTTGTTCGCCGAAAAAATTGTTTTTGCCTTCTTTGGAGTTGGTTCCCCTGGTCCAATCCACTGTTTAGACTGTTCTTTGGTTTCAGGAGTGTAGTGGTGGACCCACGTTTCGTCAACGGTTACGAATCGACGCAAAAATTCGCTTGGATTACGCTTATACAATGACAAATTTGCGGTAGAAATGTTTTTTCGAATCAATTTTTGGTCGACTGTTAGCAAACGCGGCACCCATCTTGCACAGAGCTTTTCCATATGCAAATGTTGGTGCAAAATATGTTGCACACGTTCATATGACATCTTACAGGTCTCAGCTATCTCACGCACTTTCAATCTGCGGTCTCCCAGCACTATTTGATGAATTTTTTCGATCATATCTGGAGTTGTGACCTCAACGGGGCGTCCTGAGCGAGGCCCATCAGAGGTGCTCACACGACCCTTTTTAAACTCGGAAACCCACTGCTTAACGGTTGAATATGACGGGGAGGATGTCCCCAGTGTTGAGTCCATCTCTTTTTTAATTTCCTTCGGCGTTAACCCCTTCAAATAAAAGTATTTGATGACAGCACGATTTTCCTGCTTTTCCATTTTTACGAAAACCACAGAGGCGTCTTGTTCAGCGTGCTGTCAAACCTACACTAGCAAGGAGATCGGGCTGAAACTATAGCTACAAGCTATCCAAGGATGGTACTATAGAATGTCACCTCAAGGTAGGCCTAGTGGCGTCATCTCTTGGTTAGGCCGGAAACTTATCAATCCACCCTCGTATCATCATCATAAGGGCTTCTATTACTGAATATGCTTACCCACTAGGTATAGAAATTTAAAATAACGTTACTAAAAAATCACATTCCTAAGTAGTAGTAGCATCGACCATGCAACTCTTAAAGTAAAAATAAAAATACTAATTAACGTCAGATAGTGCAGGCAGTGATAACATGATGTATGGTGAAGTTCTGGAACGGATACTTCCATAAAGTACGCAATTTCTCTCCCGTATGCACACTTTGCAGAAGAATCCAGCCCCGAAGGACTAATTTGGCTGCGGGTTGTGTTCATTACGGCACTAAAAGCGAGAGCGGTAGATGCCATGAAGCAACTCCTTTATGCAGGGGGTAGCTTTCTACGTAAAGGGTGATGACGGAGTTGTCGAGTGGCGCAGGACGTAATGTGCAAGTAAATTGGCTTTTTTTCGGCGATGCAACTTTCAAAGCCAAAGCAGACGACGCGATGCGTCGCACGTTTCATCCATCCCCTGTTACAACTTGTCTCTCATAACTCAACTTGGTTGCGTCACATCACATCGCCTCGTCTCTCTCATTATACGCCACTCCACTGATTACAACAAAACTCGTCCTTTTTCTTCCAAGTTTTAATATAAAATGCAAATTAGCCAACCGTATAATATCTGGGGAACTTCATGGGTTAGCACTACTGACAACTGCAGATAAAAACTGTTAATTACTGGTTGTATCGTGAGATTACTTGGCGAAACTATCAAGGTCCTTAAAAACGCCTGTTCGATATTATTTCTTCTAGGCGTTTTAACTAAAAACTTTTGGGTGTTTCATTCTCATCAGCCAGTAATGCTAGTGGGCGGGCAGTCCCTCCGGATTACGCCGAAAGGCCCTCTTCAGCCTGCTTTCAGGAATTGTGGGAATGGGTGGGTGGTGGCTCGTGTGAGAAAGTTGAGACAGACGAAATGAAGACAGAAGAGAATGAAAGATTATCTGTGGAATATTACTGCCTCAACATTTGCCTAGGTGATCCAAGGAAACCACAGAAAAACTTGAACCAAGGGAGACGGACCCGGAATCGAACAGGCGTCCTCCCGAATGCTAAGCAATGGTCTAAACCTCTAGGCCATGCCGCTCGGTGGCGTTTTAACTCTAATCGTACATTAATGTTTTGCATTTGTTTACATTACCTCACCTTTAAAAGGTTTTCCTTCTTTTAGACTGATAATACCGAAATTGATATGCCGTTTCGGATTAAGTTGTTGCTCCTATCTCTAGTTTTCTTGGTTCCACCATGTCTATTATTTTGACATTCATTTTCACAAAGTTCAATTTATAAGTAACTGGATTTATTGTTAATTTTCTTATTATTAATATCGTTTCAGACAAGTCCTGACGCTAACACAACGACAAGTGTTCTCACATTTACCCCGACAATTGACGATGATGGAAAGTATCTTTCATGTAGAGGACAGCAGCCGTTAATCCAAGACAGCGGTATAGAAGACGGATGGAAATTGGATATTCACTGTAAGTTATTCTCCGCGTAATAATATGTTTTATGATAATCCTCTCTCTTTTTTATTTTATACAGACGTTCCCGTCGTCACTTTGGAGCTCGGTAGCAATATCAACAGCACTAACATCCGAGAAGGAGAAGACGTCTACTTCGAATGCAACATTAAATCTAATCCGTGGGTGTATAAAGTTAGTTGGAAACACAACGTAAGTAATCAGACAAAAACAGATTGTTGTAATAATACATTTTAAGGAGACATTAAGATTGTCGTTTTAAAGGTTTTACTAATGGGAGTTTTACAGTTCAAAAGGATAGCGAAAATATTTCACAATTGTATTGTTCACAAACTGTACGACATAGAAATCTAAAATTTGGTTTAATAATAAATAATTATGATTCAGATATTTTCAAAAATATAAAAAGGATAAAACTAATTATTATTATTTGAAAATGCTACTGTGGCTGTGTATATGGGATATATTTCATCAAAAATAAAAGCGTCGAGCAACAGACCTGACGGTCGATCGGGGTGAGGACAGCGTAGGTTGTTTGACCTCTTACTATTTTAGGTCAAAATTAAATGCAAATAAACACATCATCATCATAAGGTCATCAGTCCTAAGACTAGTTGGACACGTACCACCACACTTTCCTATCCTGAGCTAAACTTCGCATTTCCCTAAAACTAGAACAGCCCACATCCTTAACTATTTGCGAACAGTAATCTAATCTAGGTCTACCTCTACCCCTCCTAACTCCTGTTTCTGCCTCTAATATGTCTCTGACTAGACCTTCATGCCTGAGAAGGTGTCCTACCAACCTATCTCGCCTATTTTTTATTGACTTCCATAGAGTCCTCTGTTCTCCTATTCTTTCCAATACCTCTTCATTTCTAACCTTTTCTACCCACGATATCCTCATCATCCGCCTATAACACCACATTTCGAACGCTTCTAACCTTTTCTTTTCCGCCGCTCCCACTGTCCATGTTTCGCACCCGTACAACGCCGTGCTCCAAACATACACCTTTAACAACCTTTTTCGAATTTCTAAATTAACCGTTCGCGAGCATAGAAGTGACTTCTTTTTATTAAAGGCGATACGACCCTGCGCTATCCTCTGCTTTATATCCCTACTACTCCTTCCATCCTGACTTATCTGACTTCCTAGGTATCTAAAATCAACCACTTCTTCTAATTTTTCGTCTCCTATCTTTATATTCGCTCTTTCCCTATTTTTTATTCCCTTGCATACCAGTATTTTAGTTTTACTTTTATTTATTTTCATACAGTACTGATCTGTCAGTACCGCTTCCATTTTACGATTTAAAGCTATCTCTAGGTGCTGCTTGGTAGATGCTAATACTGCTGTATCAAAATAAACACATAAAGGATAAATATTCTATGATTGAATAATGTCGATGCGTCGTATTTAACGCTGTGAACTGAGCTTGTTTGGCTTTTGCTGCGTCGTTCGAATGACGATCTTCGAAATTGTAACCAAGAATCGCAAAAAACTTCGTTCCGTTACCGTTACCGTCAGGTTATTTCCAAATAAAAGGGATAGCTCGCCCGAATATAATCTTTAGCGAGAAACTTCAACTGTTTGAAATTATTTGATTTACACAATAATCACAATCGGTGATACAAATCACAATGACAAACTGGTAAAGGCTTTCGTGGCCATAGTTACCTGATACTTCAGTCGTACGTTCCGTAATTGTTTCTTCATCTATATCTAAGAGTTACACTAATTTATTAAAACATTCGTGCCATCTGAGAAAGAAGTTTCTCTCAACAAATTGACATTATTACAACTATTATTATATTCGAATTTCTTCAAAACTAATTTCGTGCCGTGCTCATAAAACTTCTCATTGTGCAGCATTATAAGATGCCGGTAAAGTGAAAAATTTTCGCCGAATTAACAAGGGTGAATTTTTGAAGCGAGAATATAGTCTGCGAGAAGAAGTTGCGAGTTAATTGGATTCTGATTGCTCTCGAATAGAAACTTGCCTTCCCATCTACCTATAGGAACCCACCTACCCACCTGGCTGCCTGCCTGTCTTACTTCATAAGAGCACCGTGATCATCGTCATCGTGTTGTTATCGACCCTCTGAGGGAGCAACGTCGTACGCACCGGAGAAGAAAATGTCAATTTTGTTTCTATTTTATACATAATCAGTTTTCCTGGGTTGAAGTAGGTGGCATGTATATGTAGGGAAAGTATATCAGGGGCTTTTCATAAATTTACAGCGCAAGTAAAAAGGCGAATGATGAGGCTTCGATATAAAAGGGGGAACGGAGAAAAGCTGACTCCAACATGTCTTCCGATTTGCTTTCTTTTAGAAGATAAGATTATCGCCTGTACGATATATTACACTGAAATGTTACACGTTGTAAACAACCTGAAAAAATATAGATCAAACTGATTGGCGACGGCTACATCCAATGTCTTCATGTATACCAATTTTAACTAAAATTAGGTAAATTGATTGGTTACTAAACGGGAATGACAATACATTTAAACAAGTTTAGTTTAGCAAAAACCTAAAAACTGTATTTTAAAGTGTGCCTTTAGACAAGAAAAATTTATCTAAATATGATAAGAACCTCGTGGAACATGCCTGGAGTCATGTGAGGCATGATTAATGAGAAACATTCCTGACTAAAACTTCTCGATTTTGAACTCATTGGGAATGCATTGTACGGAATTGAATATACTTTCCTGATCAGAATTGTTAGGTTTGGAACTGATCTATTTAATCTAATTAGATATTTCTTTTGTGAAATATGTATGACATATTTTAAAAAAGTTTAAAAACTTTTCAAATATTTTTAAAAACCAAATACAATATTTCTTGTGGTTGTTTTCAGCAGGAAACATTAAGATGGGAAATATTCAAAAGACACCCGGCCAGTCCTTTATATATAAAAAAATATTTCAGAAAGGAACGGAGTAGATAAATAAAAGAACGGAGAAGGAACATTCAATTAAATTTTGTATTTAGCTTGAGAATGAATAATAAATTTTATTATATACTATCGTCATAAAGATAGATAAAGATGTTCAGTCTCTCAGAGTCTCTGAAAGCGAGACTCGAGTCTCCCTCTCTCATCGAGTCTCTCTGGTGTCGCTGAGAGGGACTGTCAAAAAATCTATTCAGCGTCTCTGAATGAGAGACTAGAATCTCTCAATAAGTGGTATCTCGATAGACATGGTTAAAATTTCAACATATTTCAGAGATCCCTGTCTTTCTATGAGAGAGCCGAATCCCTCAATTTTTCAGTTTTATTCATTCAGTCTCTTTGAGAGAGACTCGAATTTCTGAATTAACAATTTTATCGTTCGAGTCTCTCATACAGAGACTGTGAGAGATTCATAAAAACACCTAGACAATAACTGACAGACTGTGAGAGACGCTGAAAGACTGTGAAAGACTGAAAACTTTTGTCTAGGGATTTAATATCCTGTAACCCAATCTTTCCATTTGAATGCGCAAAAAAACTTCGCATATCACAGACTTTGTTTGTTACGGGAGTTTTCAGCCTCTACTAAAAAGCAAAAAGTGTGTCAATATTTTCTAATTTTCCTATCTAATTTTTTTCCCGTGGGACAGAGCAGTTACAGTTAATATGGAATTCATTCTTCGTAGCAAACCTATTGTACGTATTTGCATAGAAAGCTACGCTCTTTTGGAAAGAAAGAAAACAACAGTAGAAGAAAATGTCTTACGATTACGGGGCGCGTTTTTAATTCAATTTTCTTGAACGAGCGACGCAGCAATTACAGTCAGTCACTGCCATCTTGATAACAAATCGTCCAGTGAAAATGACAAGGGCGACAACGTAACGGACAGACGAAGATAAATATATTAGCGTAACTGATGCGTCCCGGGGGAACTGGCTATGCTCCGGAATCTGCTACTGCTGGAAATTGCCCTCCACGTCGACTATATGACGACCGTTCGCCACCGCCCTCCTCCTACTACACCCTCTTCTTGTACCGGAAGTCCTATAGCTTACGAGATCCAGACTCCCAGAGCTGAGTACTCACCCGACCAACCGACAGACCGACTTCTTATTGTAGTCATATTACACAGCTGAACGTTTATGTTCGAGCGAATTCCCTCGATTCAGCTTTTATGCTTGCAGTCGCTATTTGTCCACCCGACAATATAACGAACGGACCACGAGATTCAATGCGTCCATTGAATCCGTAATGGTTTACTTGCATGTGCCCCTTACGCCGAACGGAATTTCTAACAAAAATAATAACTGAATAGAACATTCAAATACAACAGTCAGTATTGAAGTTCTACTTCTTTTGGTACGCTGGGAATAAAATTTTAGTGTGCAACGGAAGTTGCGCGCGCACAGCTAACAGAGTTCGGCAGAGTAAGTTCGCAACCTGGCCAACAAGGGTGACATTGCGCTAAGATATTATTTATTTACGTAAATCGAATACATTGTTTAAATAATTACACAATTATTATTATGTATATATTGGTTAAATAACCACGGACTTAGATAAATCAAAGTACAATTTCAACCTATACTTATTCGACTATTAAACAAAATATTTTAATGAATTTGTTAAAAGTTGCACAGGAATTCTATAAGTCCAAGAAAACAAAAAATCGATCATTTTTTCATTGATTTTCGTTTATTTCTACGCCATTTTCTCTGTAGAAACGTTTAGTCCTTTCTGCTCATTATTACAGCAGATTGTTTTTATAATGGCTGTAATTCATTTAAATGTAACTTCCTTTTTGTTGTTCCAGGGAAAGCTGCTATACAACAATGCGGCCGCAGGGACAATTGTTAGCAATCAAAGTTTGGTACTTCAGGCCATAACTAGACAAAGGGCGGGACTGTATACGTGCGTCGGTAGTAACCAAGAGGGTGACGGAGAAAGCAACCCCGTGCAATTGAACATAAAATGTAAGCCTATTTTCTTATTTTTTTTTTATGTTATCGTGGAAGAGGGGAAATCTTCAGAAGACACCCAGCCGTCCGTACGACTGGGTAGTGTCGGATTCCCGAGGAAGAAGAACTCGGACCTACCGACTCACAAATACCTCTATCTGATTCTCTCCATTCATATTCCATATGAATATTAGCTTCAATCCTAAACAGTATGCACCATTTAAGACAGGTTAGGTTGGACTAACTAAAAGATACAAAAGAACTTTGATCAATCAAACCTATAGGCGTCGGAAAACCTCTATAAGTAAAAGAAAAGTTAGAGGTTACTCCTTCAGATCTTGAAGCTTCCTTTACTTAAAATACACTTGTTATACCTGAAGGATCATATCTGTCAACGTCAAGGATACTATTAATTGAAAGGTTATTCATAGGTCGTTTGTGGAACTAGATTCGCATTAAGGGTGAATTTACACTGCTTATAGACACGTAGCTCTTTAAAAAACTTCTTGATTCCCCTTTATGTTAAAAACTCTTCACATTTTTTCTGAACTTTAGCTTAAGCGAGGTTCTAATATTTTAATCCAGTGGAAAGTTTAAAATCATTAATTGTGGTTGTAAAGTAAAGTGGAAATCTTCCAGTAGGGCAATTTTAAAACATAATGAGTGCACGGCTTTGTAAAAAGTTCCAGCTAAAACTGTCCCGATAGATTTTTCTTGGTTATTAAATTGTCAAACTAATACTTGTATCTAATCCTTTTCAAGTTTATACTAAATGCTACACCTACTTCAGTGACATTTTAAATAACTTAAATCGACATAAATACAGGTAAATGTATACCTAAGGTTGGAGAGTTAATGGGGTCTACCCCCCACCGAAATTTCAAAAAATATGAATTGTACAAAAATAAATATAACACGAATAATATAGGAACTTCACATCGAATTTCTAATGTTTTTCTCAAATCAAATAAATAAAAGATTCTTGTAACATTATTGCTATTATAATTATAATATGCAGAAAATGCTACCCTCCTTTGCAGAAAAGGTATCAGATGAATTCATAACATCACTAGTCCAGGTCTTTATTAAAAAGTGTCCAAATACCCCTGAACCACTGTTTGTAGGGATAGGTAATTCTTATGTCGCGAAGATATTGGTCTAAAAAAATCATATGAAGTAAAGCTTGACAAATACATGATATTCGTTAATGCTCTAAAACACTGTAGTCTTCTATTTTCCTAATATTTCTAATATTTATTTCTATAACGACAGCAGTTGAGAGAATTTCCTATACCTTTCTCATTATTAGTTAAAAAATTAGTTCGCAACGAGCTGTTATTATTTTAACTTTTAATGAATGAAAAGATATGATCTCGTTCGTATTGTTCGTTCATTCTCGTCATAGATTAACTTATCATTATTTCTCATGCTTTATATCTGTTGGTTTTTGTAAAACCCCCCTTGAACGAAAATCCTAGTCGCGCCCCTGGGAACGACAATAAAATTCGTGAACATTATTGATGCAGTTTCGTTTTCTCGCATTCCATCACAGTCACTCGCCAAGTCAGTGAGTCTAACAGATTTATCTTCTATTCCTCTCCCTCCTTGTCGTTCGCTCTCCCTCGTCACTCCTCATTTCTTCCTCTACCACAAAATCCGCTCGTGCTAAATCTTTCGCCAAATAGCCGATTTTAATTAATTCGACTTTAGTCAGCTGTCACTGGTTACAACAGCGGAGGTCCTTCATTATTTCAGATTGCGGAATTTGCTGACTTTTAATTGTACCTTAAATATCGCAATTTGTCTTTTCCCGAATTTCTAATCGAACAGAGAGCCGGATGGTTAAGTACAATCTTTTCAGAAAATAATTGCTAGTGAAAGTACTGGTTAAAAATGTGTTGCAAATTTAAGTTTATAAAACAATACCACATTTCTCTAGTGGGTTTGAGACACTTTGAACATTTGTACGATATAATTCAACGCATTAGTGAATTAATTTTCTGAATTAACTTTACCCATTACAGAGAGCAAAAACAATTATTGCCGCTGTCACTCCCTCGCCGGGAATCGAACCCGGGCCCCTGATTTTACGCACCGGTACAGGGACTGATAGGAGAAACAATTTTTGACGTGACAACGTCTTATAATTCGATGGAGCCGGCTGCACGCACGAAAAAACATGACTCATGCGGCGTTACCTCGCTCTGAGGCGTTCCATTTAAGGCTTGAAGTGCAAGCGAGAGCGCGGAACGAGCGACAATCGTCCTCCGCGTTCGGCAGCGTTTGACATCTGCCTCTCTCCTACTTGAGTGAGCGATGCGCCTGCGTGGACAGCTGCTATACAATAGTACATTTCCATTTACTTCCTTCTCTATATCCATACAAAATATCTATCAAACAAATAAAATTAAAATTTTCTTTTGAAAAATGAAACCATTCCATCAGTATTTTTTTATGACGTTGTCACGTTCAACTATCGTCAGTAAACCGACTTTACAGACAACCGATTTTTTTTCGTATTAATTTGAGGCTATCTGTAGTGGGTAAGGTTAATTAAAAAAATTAATTCACTAATACGTATAACGGGTTTGTTTTAGATAAAAATTTTACAATGACCATTTGAAGTCCATTAAATAGTTTCATGTGGTTTGTGATGGGGTTGGTTCGAGAAAAAATTTTACCCATTGGCATATTGTTACAGTTGCTCCCGTATGCCGTCTGGGTCAACCGAAAGTTTTCGGGGTCGCCCGGCACGAACTGGCAAAGATCCCGTGCGACCTGGAGGCAAATCCGGACAAAGTTAACTTCACATGGAAATTTAACATCAGCGGCGAGACAATCGATATACCTCAGTCGCATACTATCGCGGACAAGACGAGAAGCATAGCTTCGTACAAACCGATGACCGAGAAGGACTACGGCACCCTATTGTGCAAGGGCACCAACGAAGTCGGCGAACAAAAAGAACCGTGCGTCTTCTATATTACACCTGCTGGTAAGTCCAATCAAAATTAATTCAAAAGTAATTGCTGAATCGTATTACACACGGCGTTACCGATTTAGAGTATTGAATGTAACAATTTTCCCCGAAATTAACAAAGAAACTCTAAGAGGGTGTCTTGGATAGTCCTTAGGGTTCTCTACGTTATTGTTTTTGTTTAACAGGATGTCTTGAAACACCCATTTGATTTCTATTTAAAAAAAATTGAATAGTTAATAAATAAATTATGTAGTTTCTTTCAGGGTGGCGGTCAATTAATTACACAACTATTGTTTCTTGTAACGTTTCAGTTTATTTAACCGTCTTATGACTTTTGTGTGTTATTGCTTGTACACAGATAAAAAAACTACATAATTTAGTAGTAACGGTCTGGAATCTAACTTAAATTAATGAATAAAACAGTATAAAATAAATGTTAAACTTAAATTATTGATTAAGCATTTTTTTATTAATTTTATTTTGACTTCTTGCTCCGCAATGTCAAAGTCTCAACTTATTTTTGGTTGGGTATACTAACAAGTGGATGAAATAGTTTGATACTTTTTATTTGAATCATAATATAACCATTCCTAATATTTGGACTTCGTTTTTACTAAAAATACATTTGATGCGATTGTAAAATAACCAACGTAATCGATAACATAAAAAAAAATTTTTAGTAGTTAGCAAACTACAACTCGTTTCGGTAGGTTTACATTCTCTAGGGTACTTTGGTCGAAATACCTGAATTTAGTGTCAGAATTCAAATATAAGGGTTTCCGATTTTTTCGGCTTCGTACATTTTTTAGAAAATTCTACTTCAGAACAATCGTATAAATATTCGAAACCGTACTAGGTAAGAACCACCCTAATAAAAATGTACCTACCTTTCACTTATTCTAAACAGATGTTTGATAACCGGTGGTCGACCGGCAAACCCTAAAGCACACGAACGTTTCAGAATGTTCTCGATTCTTTCGATTCACTCTAGAACATTCTACAAATTTAAACATTCGAGAATATTCTAGCTGAAGACAACGCCAGAAATATTCAAGACCACTCTAGTATATTTACACTTATACTAAACTGGTAAAATGGTATTTGGTGGCTGATGATCGACCTTACAACCCCTATACGCACCAAACTGGAGGGAATTGAAACGTTAAAAGAGATTTCGTATATTTTTTTAGAACACCGGTAGTCTACGTTGAGTGGTTGCGGCTACAAAGTAATATACGAAAACTATTCTTATTTATATATGTATTGAACTGTATACCATGTCCGTTAAATATAAATTTAAAATTATCAGATCTCAAATATTTCATATAACAATAAATCGTTATTGTGGAACTAATGGAAACGTTTACATGAACAAATTGGAGACAGTTTTGAGTGATATTTTTTAGTTTTGTTTGCGAAGTCGCATAATGTCGAATCGCCTTGTCGTTTACGTTGCCAAAAAAAGAGACATTCGAGTGTAGAATTTATCAAGCGGGCTTTATTACGCGATAGGGCATAAATACGGAGTAAATAATGCTGCTTTTAAGGGTCTCCAGGCTCCTTCTTAAAGATAAGGACAGGAGGGGGAACGCGATTTTATAGTGCTAATAAATCTCCCAAGTATTTGCTCCTGCTCCATAAATACTTTATCATTTTTATTAAACCGATATATTGCAGCGGAGGCGTGAGTGGCTGCACTGCTGCTGCTCGTATTGATTCCAGCACAATTGAACTCAAAAGAAGGATAATAAATAGTCACCGGGAAGAACAACCTGCCACCCTTTTTCATTTCATAACAATTTGAAAACAACCAAAAATTGATGTGTTTTGTTTGCTGCTAAAGAAAGAATAATTAACGTAAAATTGGAAAAGTTTGCACCAAAAATAATCATGGGACTACCCGAGATAAAAATGTTCAGTCTCTCAGAGTCTCTGAAAGCGAGACTCGAGTTTCCGTCTCTCATCGAGTCTCTCTAGTGTCGCTGAGAGAGACTGTCAAAAAAACTATTTAGCGTCTCTGAACGAGAGACTCGAGTCGCTTATAGAGAGATTCTCATTTCGTATCCAGTCGCTGAACGAGAGACTCGAATCTCTTAATAAGTGGTGTCTCGATAGACATGGTTAAAATTTTCTAAATTCAACATATTTCAGAGATCGCAGTCTTTCTACGAGAGACCCGAGTCTCTCAATTTTTCAGTTTTATTCATTCAGTCTCCTTGTGAGAGACTCGAACCTCTGAATTAACAATTTTATCGTTCGAGTCTCTCATACAGAGACTGTGAAAGATCCATAAAAACACCTAGGCAATAACTGAGAGACTGTAAAAGACTGTGAGAGACGCTAAGAAAGACTCTGAGAGACTGGAGAGAGACTGAAAATTTTTGTCTAGGGTAATCAATAAAAAGGTACTCAGTTGTTACACACAAACTAGCAATAATAAAAATAAATAATTTTCAATTTCAGTAAGCAATAAACATTAACAGGTGGCGATATACTTCCTGTTATTCCCTATATTCTATAAACTAATTTCTGTGGAACAGGTAGCTGGTAATCCTGCTTAAGTTGTGCTGATGAAAACTAATAAGATCGAAATTGTATGGTAATCCACGTCTTGTAAGGCATTTTGAGACCGAATAACCGTAATCCAAAAAAAATCTATAAAACAGTTAAAAAAAGTCGGAAAAGTCCGGGCTCCATGATAAATTTTCCTTGGAAAATATCAGAAAAAAAATCTGAAAGCGTTTTTCGATAAAACTTTTGAAAAAACATTTTAAAAGTGTAGTATTTTGTATAAATTTTGTTACCTAATATATATGTAACATTAATTTCAACTTTACAACATTCAATCTCTTCGTATCCTAGCATAAGACCTAACAATTAGGTAAAATTCGACATAACTCTATTGCTACAATATCTCACCGATATTTGGCAAATGTGATTGAAATAATTTTTCAGCGTATCTTCGCAATCTTTTTAAACTGGCTAAATATCCTATGAAAGCTCTAGCAAGTTTACGAAGATGAAAGTTTAAATTGCATTTTAGATTTTGAGCGTCAGAAGAGATTTAAAGAAGGTCGGGGAGAGTTCCTGACGATGATCCTCGTCTTAGCTGTCTTGTATGTAGCCGATTAGATGATCTATGCAATATAAATATGACTTATTGTAAACGATACTAAACCATAATATTTCGTAAATGGTACGCTTAAATTAAATTTCCTTCATTTAAAAAAAGCTTCACAACGTTGCTCTACTCTTTTCACTTTATGTTTCATACGACTTTTTCGTAAATATTAAAAGACTACCAGACTATCAGAATAGCATCAATTTTGCATTCAATGTCATAGATTTCTAAATACGGTAGGTATATTTATCTATTTTGTTTTAGGAAAACCGGACCCTCTTGCAAATTGTACAATTCTAAACCAAACTGCTGATTCGTTGAACGTTGACTGCTTGGAGGGTTTCGATGGCGGTCTGGATCAATTTTTTGTGATGGAAGTATACGATGCGCAAAGCAGAAAACTTGTGAGCAACGTAACATCGAAAAGCCCGATTTTCGCAGTCGGAGGCCTCGAATCTGGCCTCGGGTTTGAAGTAGCGCTTTACGCTGCAAACAAAAAGGGACGAAGCGATGTTTCACGATTGCACGCGTCAACCCTCAAATCAGCAGAGAAACACACAGGTACGATAAACTCTTATAAAATTGGTGAATTATCCCTGGCGTGGGCCCAAGTTAGTAGGTATACTTCATTTACTTTCTGTAGCGATGTGCCCCTACCAATGTCTTGGATGCGCGTTGGCAAAATTGTAGGTAGGGAGAAAAAAGCTCATCATACTCTCGACTTTTGTTCATTAAACATACTTTTTCATACAGTACCTGCCAAAAGTTTTGTTCAATCATGAATAGTAGTGCGAGTCGAAAACAAGCGTTGAAGCCTTTAATATGTCTTCAAATATAAATAAGTATCTCGTTGATATTTTCAGTAGTAATTGGTACTAATAAGAGCACATTTGAGCAAAGCAATTGTGGCGGATAAAATAGTCAATTTTTCCGTGCAGTACTGTACGGATTATACGCTCCTCACCGGTTAAGAGTTTGGCCGAGAGTTGTCTCCTTTCTTTTCTGGTGCTATTCTTTTCTACATTGCGCCGGTCAAACTGAAGGTCACATCGCTACAGAAAGTAAACGTAGTATATCAGGTGCTGTTAAGGTACGTAAAAACATTACTCGTTTTTCTTAAAGTCTGAGTGCTGATTTTTACATAATGTTTCACAAAATATTGTAAAAAATTGATAATCAACACTACCAGACACTGCCTATCGGTGATAATTTCTGCCAGACGTTTCAAAGTTCGCAAAAACGTCGTAACTTTATGCTTACAGTCTGTCTTCATTTTCTAGTTTTTCACTTAGGGAACTATTTCAATACTTTTTGTAAACAGTTAGATCAATTGCAGTGGATAAACATCCCCCAGACACAACAGACACAATAAAAATGTCGCGCTTATGATTAGCGATATTTTAATTGTATATGGGGGATATTTAGTCCCTACAATGGGTCCGGTTTCTTAGAAAATTATTGAAATACTTTTGAAGTGTCTTTAAGAAAAGTGAGTAATAATTTTACGTACCTTTAGCACCTGATATCTGCAAACGGCCCAAATTAGCAGGTATGCATACGTTCCAAATACATACTAACCCTACTGTATCCCAACCATTCTGTTAGTTATAGTGTCTGAAGGTTTTGGAATCTTGGACAATTCATATTAAATACAACTTTCAATAACGTTGCTTTTTTCCGTTGATACTATCGCAATTCTTACATACTGTAATAGTTTTGTCGTAGATGTAACAAAATTTTATTTGTCGACGAAGTCGCCTTCAATGTCATCAGAAATAAAACAAGCTATTTAGGTACGCAATAAAATCGAATTGGTAGGAAAGTAGGACGAAATATCGAAATCCAGGGTTGAATGCTTCGATCTAGAAACTCCCACTGGCGACCGACTTCGATGCCGTTCGCGTAATTGCCATCGTATCGAGTAGCGAACAAGCGCGGGAAGGCGAGCAAAAACAGACAGCCCGAGGTGTTGCGAAATTGCACTTTTGACAACTCAAAATTGCCTTCTAACAAAGTTACGCTTCTGGTACAGATACATGTACGATTCCATCCCTTTCTCTCGCACCCTAGCAGTTTCTTCCGCGCGCGCTCTCTGTCTCCGGTGGTTTATTTATAGAACGGAAGTCAGGAAGTTTTTGAAACGGAAAGCACTGATGGACCAATTTACCCCTGTTACAAGAGAAAAATTACACGACGTAAAGAATTCGTTGCGATTACCCCAGTTCTCAACAACAACGAAATCCCTTTATAACACAGTAAATTTATCAATGTGTCAAATAATTAAACTTCCATAGTCTCTTATAAATGTAGTTAGTCAATGTACAGTCAAGTTGTTTCCTATATTAACCCTTTGCACTCCGAAATTGTGTTTAAATGTTCTAGTTGACAAATTGACGAAGGCTTTCGCGGCCAGTAGGTGAACTGATGCTGCCCCCAGTCGGGTCTAATAACCGTTGTCGGTTGCAGTTACTTCCCAACGTTTCGCTAGCACCAGTGACGAGCTTTTTCAAAGTTTCTTCCATCTCTGATGCTGTATGTGGACATAGCCCACCTTTGAAGAAGCTACTCGTGCTAGCGAAACGTTATAAAACAACTTCAACCGACGAAGGCTTTTACACCGAATCAGGGCATCATCATTTCAGGTAGGTACTTTTTGATAAGATAATTCGAAAAGCGCAAAACCTAGATCTATAATTCTATTGATTTTCTGGAAAAATGAAATGTTTATCATCGCTTTCAATTAGAAAAAAGCTTCTTACGGTACTCAAGACATTTTAAAAGTAAATAACTCCTTACACCCTTATTGAAATAATATGGATTCGGTTCCCCTATCCGGGCAGAAAAAAATGATAAGGTCTTTATTTTTTTACAGCCATGTCTCCTCTTCTTATCCATATCACCCCCATAATAGGCACCTTGGCAGGCGTAGTGGTTGCTATCGTTCTGATGGCGGTTATCATTGTGGTGGTAATAAGATGTCGAGGTCGTGGTGAACACGACGAAAAACTACATGCAGAGGGTAGTTTATTGTCTGGTAACGGTCACCATCATCGTAGTGGTGGTAGGAGGGGAAGTGTTTCCAACAGAGGCGACCAAACCAGTTGCGAACCACTGAACAGACAACTGAATTGTAGTGTCGATAGTTTGGATGAGAAGAATCCTGATTTGATTCCGCACGAAAATGATGAAGAATACCAGGAAGAAGAAAGAGCTTTTGAACGATTAAATAACGTCCAAGTAAGGCCGTTCTTGTCTGTCACTACTGGAAGGAGCAGTCCTTATGGAGCATTTGATCCACATACAAACGTAAGTCCTTCGTATTTCTTCTATTTTAAAAATTGCAAATGCAGTCCTTTTTTCTGTCCTTTCAGGTTAACGAAATGACTTACGCCGAACTTTCTCTATGCAATCGACAAAATCCTCACGTCATCTACAACAATCAATCGACCCATTTGTTGAACGTTAAGCACAAACATGAACCTGTCGTTTACTCTCAAATTCAAACGACTGCAGCGTATCCATCTCAACATCAGCATCAACAACAGCAGTCACTTCTGCAACCGTTGAGTCCCCCAATTTCCGCATCCCTCCCGCGACTACATCATTCCGGCCATATGCCCATGTACGTAACCAGACGATTCCAAGATGATCTCCGGGGCAACGTAACTCCTCCGCAACAGCAACAACAACTGCAGCACGAAGAATGTACTTCTTCACAAACTCCGCTAATCAACCCACGAATAAACGAGGTGAGTGATCATAAAAAATATTCGTCTTCAGTTTAAAAATAAATAACAACATGAAGATACTACAGTTATACTCAAATGGTTATCCTAATATAAGTTTTGAACAGTCCAATACTGTTGGGGCTTTTCTCCATTTGTCTGACAATGCTTTTTCTTTCCATTTTTAAAGTGAAACTTTTATTACATCGCCTCAAATTTTTTCGTGCATCTATCGCATGTCGCATCACAGCCGGCCGCGGAGTAGGGGTAAAACTGAAAGGCGCTCGGCAGTGCAACCAAGGCCAATATGGCCCATGGCTTGTATGAGCTAACCATGCAGCAGTTATATTCTCACACATTCCTGCAAGTGCATGACAATTACATTTACAGACTGAAACTCAATGCGAAGATGAAATTATTGATAGAATAACTGAAGTTCAAAATGATTCAGTGACTTCAATAAATATTGTTCTCAGTTGATTATTATTTCCCATTATCATTCCCATTTTCCAATCATTAAGAGAAGATTAAGAACGCGATTTTAATTTTAATACCCTAATCTCGCACATTTATGTGAATGGAGATTGTTTTAAGAACGAATCTCAATGAGCCATTACGAACGAAAGATAACTCTAAAGTAAAGTTAACTTTTTTAGTAATATTTAATCTAATGTCGACATACCCTTTTCTGTATTATTAATTTTACCCTTCGACTTCGCAATATCCTCAGAGACATGACAAAACTCCGTTACATTTTTTTCACCTTATTACAGCAACGATCTCGCGCCCCCTTCGACAAACAACATCATAACGGCAGTGTGATGAAACTCTGACCTGTCAGGGTTGTGTTTCGTCGTTGTGGACGATATAAGATTTTCGCCTTCGGTCTCCGCGATGTATTCTTGTCGCCAGTCTCGTCATAGTAAGTACTCCCCTTCTCTCCGTCCACCCCCGTGGTCTAATGAAGGCTCTTGTGCTCTTATTAAAATTTAAGGTTATCACTGTCAGCACAGGCTGTTGAAAGATCTTGCCTCATCAGTTCGTTGCGATGCGGGCGTGCAAGATAATAGTCAAAGTTCCGGGATTAATTTAGCTCTGCCACGCACATGAGGGTTGGCGCGCGGTTACGTTATATTTACGCTTATTTATGTACAAGATAAAGGTCGCAGTCGATGGCTGTTCTATCTAATATCGTCGGCAATGTTGTTCCGAAAGCTTTTAATAATTAGTTTTGCAAAATACCACGAAACCACCGCAGAATAATTTTAGCTTTTTGAAACAGAAGGTACTTCTTGGAACGAGAAAATTTCAGAGTTATAGGAAAAGCCTGATTGAATCAAACATAGGGTTTCGATAAAATTTAATTTTCCTCGAGCATTATCAAATATACCCGCCGCAAATACCATTACTTGGATTATCTGAAATTGGAAACGGTTTTCATACAAACAAGATCTCATATAACGAGGGGCTATTAAAGTTGAAACAAAAACGAACGATAATAATTAGATATCAATAAAAAGCTATACCTAAATGTGATTTATACCATCGGTGGTGCAAGGATTATAAAAATAGTAGAATTTGGTTAATTGTTACACAAATTTTTTGAAAAATACAATTGTTTCGAAATTAAAGTTAAAATGTTTCCAAAAACTATTTACAATTTAATTGCTGGAAACGATGCAATTAAAAGGTGACTGGGTCGTGTACATTTTGATTTGTTTATTTACAATATTGGAGTAAATACCTTTAGAAGTGGTCAGGTTTTCTAATACCTTTCTTTACCTTTTGTTACATTTGTGTAAAATATTGATTTCATCAGAAATTCTATTTCGCTCTCTATTTCTACTTTTTATCGTTCTCCCACATTGTCCAATGTAAATTGCTTTGCAACTATCACAAGAAAATTAACAAACTCTATCTTATCTTAACTGCGGTAGTGTTAGTTATAATTTATTTTTTTTTAATGACAGGCTGATATCTAAACAATTAGTGAGTCATCATCATCATAAGGTCGTCAGTCATAAGATTGGTTGGACACGACCTCCACTTTTTTCTATCTTGTGCTAATCTTCTCTAAAGCTAGAGCAACCCATATCCTTAATTATTTGCGAACAGTAATCTAATTTAGGTCTATCTCTACCCCTTCTAATTTCCGTTTCTGCCTCTAATATGTCTCTGACCAGACATTTATGCCTGAGAAGTTGTCCTATTAAACTATCTCGCCTATTTCTTATAGACTTCCATAGAGTCCTCTCTATCCACGATATCCTCATCATTTGCCTGTAACACCTCATTTCGAACGCTTCTAACCTTTTTTTTCCCGCCGTGTCCACTGTCCATGTTTCGCACCCGTACAACGCCGTGCTCCAAACACACCTTTAACAACCTTTTTCGAATTTCCAAATTAACAGTTCGCTCTTATTCTTCAAAAGCTACAAATCGTAAAAATAATGGCAGTAGGTAACAGAAAATATAAAACTTAAAATTTGTATTGGAAAAAGGCTTAAGTACCACCAAGCTTTGTCTTTTTCAAGTCTTTTTATTTTCTAGTACCAGTCTTCATTTTTTACTTTTTATAGATACCTAATCAGGATTCTTTAATTGTTCTGTTTCTTTTATAATTTTGGTATTTCGAGTGAATATCGATTTTTTTTTTATTGTGCAGAGTAAATTTTCTCTTTACACAATTTAGCAGAAACGATTCGGCGATAAAAAGTGTCTCGACTGAATTTTGCACCGGGTTATAACACTCATCCTAATGACTAATAAAAATGCATAACACGTTAAGGGCAACTCCTGCCCATATTCTTCTTTTGTCTTTTCTCACTCGCGAGATAGTCGCCGCTACTATAATACAGCAGGCACTACATACACCCACCTGCCCCTCGCCTACTACCACCGACTGCACAGACCGCGAGCAAGCGATAGCGTGCAGTAGCGGTAGTTGATAATGTACTGCAGTTCGCGGCTCTCCTGCGGTTTATAAATTCTCGGAACAAAGCAGTTCTTTATGAGTCCCTTTAAAGCCATGTACCTACTACAGTGCTGTACCATCCGCAAGAGTAGTTTTATCGCTTTTTACAATGCACTAAGCAAAAATAAAATTTTGTCTTTCAAATAAAATTATCTCTTCGATTATAGACAAAATTTTTAGGGACTAGGTGACCTATTATGAAAAAAATCTCGTTATTGTAAGTGCAACCTGATATACACGTACTGTTATTAGAGTTCTTCCAGTCTTGGTCTCGCGAGAATTATTAAAAAGAAACGCAAGTATCAGATTAAATGAGCAAGACCCAAGACTTAACACGCAAGACCAAAACCGAAACTGTATGACCAATACCGAATAAGCAAGACCATCAAGATCAATACCAAAAACGTCCCGTTGTTTAGCGCCCCTTTGTTTACACTTAATTAATTATCAGTAACATCAGAAAGAGTATTGTTTTGATAAATTGAGCATCATTTGATGTGAGATATGATTAGAAACCAATTAGTTATATAACTCTGAATTCCACCATTTCTACTGTGTAATTAAAAGATGTTTCAGTCAATTTATGTTCATTCCATTCTAAACAAGAGGCAAGTGATTATATTGACAAAATTCTTCTGAAACACGATTGCTAATTATTTATTGTATATGCACATTCTTTTAAGATTAATATTGCGAATTAATTTTTTTGGTTTAAAGTAAGGTTGCCAGACCGCTTTTGCTGAACTAGAGAAACAAAGTCTCTGATTTCTTTAGGAAAAAAATTTTACGAGTTGACAAAAAGTGGAGCAGTACTTTAAAAGATTTATAGTAATCGGGACCATAAAGATTTTAGCAACAAATGTGCACGGCTGAAACGAAAATAGAAATGTAAGAAAATGGAAGACTATTATGTTTTATAACACACAATGGAAGCACTAACGTAATTGTACGGCTCTAAAATCTGGACGTTGCTACCAAGTAAAATAAAGCAGTTCGAAATAGCAGAAAAGCGAATCGCAACGATCGATAGCCAGGTCAAAAGTCACTAAATGGAATAAAAGAAAAGAACCGCATTTAACTTGTACCTACTTACTAAACTATTACACACAAAAGAACTTCCACAACAGTCACCAACAACGAGGTACTTACATAACTATTGTCTACCAAAGCAGAAGATTGATTGAAATGAAATAAGAATCAAACAGAACGAATGTCTCTATCAATGGTCAATAACTACTGTCAGACTTGGATCGCGATCGATTTTATTTGGTCTCAGCAGCACGCCACAGACACTGTCTGCTGCGTCAGTAGATTCATGAAGTGTTAAATCCTATTGTCTAATTAGATCAGCGCGATTTGCAACTTGTTGGTCATTATCAGTATATCATAAGTAGAATCACTACCTTCGCACCTAATTGAGTGTGCCGTCTCCAGGTTGAGTTAGACTGCTGGTAGGCTTGGGTCGTGAGTAAAAAAATTAGGGGTTAAACGATAATTTAGACAACACAAATATTACATACCGTAATTTAGATTAAACAATTTGTCGAACATCAAAAAGTAAAATAAATAATAAAAATAT